TTGTGCATAGGGTTGCTATGAGTTGGTACCAACTCAATGGCACCTAATAACAGCGCAAATTTTTATCCATTCTGCTCTTCATGTCTCTTGACTGGTACATTTAACCCATACATTCAGTGTAAATATTAATAGGTATAAATTGATTGTTGTCATTTGTCTATGTGTTTTTTGTGGTTGTGCGGATTTCTTTGTTCCATATAAATTTTCTATGCTAAGTTCATTTTGTTTGTGGGATTTCTTTTCATTTTCATTTCTGTTGTATTAATGTTTACTAAATCTTTCCAATTTTCCTTTTTTTGAATTTTGATGAACAGGCATATTATTTTTTTCATGGTTACCCTGTAATTTATTAATTTTTTCCCTGCTTGAAAGCTACCTGACTTCTAGCCATTTGGAAGTTCTGTGGCTACACTATTCTCTCTTTTTGATATGTAGTTAACTTCATTAAACATTGATATCTCTGGTTCTCTATTTTCAGTCTTGTAGATTTGTTTTACTTTAAATACCAGCCACTCCTCGGAAACCCTATAAAGGGTCTCTATGAGCGAGTGAATGGCACTCAATGGCACTTAACAACTTAACAACAACAACAACATATCTGGATTGGGTCCTTGGTAGTGCTGACATGTGTGGTAATTTCAGGTTGTTGTCTACTGTTGTTGGTTCTCAGTCCCTTTAGCATTTTTTGTTATGTTTGTCTGATTATTTAAAAGTCCTTTATTTTTCTGCTTACCAAGAAATGTCCAAATTTCACTGTTGTATTTGAGGGACAGCTTTGCCGTGTATATGATTCTTGGTTGTCAATCTTTGTCTTTCAGAATACTGTACATGTCATCTCATTGCTCTCTTGCCTGCATGGTTTCTGCTGAGGAATCAGAGCTTAGTCTTACTGGTTCTCCTTTGTAGGTAATTTTTTTGTTTTTCCTGAGCTGCTCTCAGGATTCTTTTCTTGTCTTTGATTTTGGAAAGCTAGATTATGACATATCTTGGTGATTTTCTTTTGGGACCTATCTTGTTTAGGGTTCCTTCAGCTTCTTGTTTCTTCTCATCTTTCATGATGTTAGGAAAGTTTCTTCCATCAACTCTTCTTTTTTTTTTTTTTTGGACAGACCACCACGATTTTATTTTTAAATAAATGTGCAGTCTAAGCCCAGGTTGGACAAACAGATGGGAGGAATGCAGAAGTGTATGTCGCCACCTAGACCCTTAGTCCGGTGGGTGCACAGGGTCCACTTGGAGGGTGGGGTGGAGCAAAGGGCAACGGGATGGTCAAGGAGGCAAGCATGTACTGCACAGAGCAGGGGTTGAGGGGGTGGGCAACTGACTGCTCAAGAGTCCATCAACATGGGTGGGAAGGGGCAGTAAGAATCCAATGTATCCCTGTGCTCTGCGGAAGGGTCAGGAAAGCTGGGGAGAGGGCCAAGACCTCACACCACACTCCATGACCCTGTGCCCTTGTCCAGCTGTTCGTGCTTACTCAGGCAGCAAGACATGTCCAACACTGATCAATGGTAGCAGCCACCTGTTGCTGTCACTCATCCTTCCCAAGAGTGACTCAAGAGGGCGAGGGACACATTCCCACCCAGCACTTCGTTCACAAAGGCTCACACCCCCAGAACCAGACTGGATTTCCTGAGCGGTGCTGATGCGGCCACGCCATGCGGCCACGCCATGGCCCAGGGTGCTACCGGCCAGGGACGGGGGAAGAGAGCAGAGGTCTTCAAGCTTCCTTTACGCACCTAGTCCTTAGTGGTGATGTTCCTGCTCCGATTTCCCCAGGAACTCTCTCAGTATCCGTGGAAGCTCAGGGCTTTTGCAGTCTGAGTGAAAAGGGGATAATCTGAACTTTGAAGTCCCGGAAGCTTCGAGATGGGGCAGTGATGCCGTAGAGCTTTCTGCCAAGCTGGAAGGGTACAACTGGGTCACCCTCAGTGTGCAGAATGAGCAGGGAGCAGGAGATGTGCTTCCCATTCTCATCATTTGCAAATCTAATTCCACTACTTGTAATGGGGGTCAAGGAAAAACAGTCAAATCCAGGGAAGTATTGATAGATCACCGAAAATGGATGGCTTTTTGCTTCTTCGCGGATGTTGGAGAATGGAGACTCCAATATAAGGGCATCTGGTGGTGTTTCTCGCTCACAGAGGCGTCGCCTCAAATTTATTGCAACCCCTGTGCCCAGAGAGTGATCCCAAATGTACATGGGGTTGTCCCCACTTCTTGCTTTGACCCAGTCAAACACATGGAGTGCGTCATACGTCATGCTCTGCTCACATGGCGTCCCTGCCGAGTTACCCCAACCTCTATAATCAAAAGTGACGACATGGTAACCAAGTGAACTCAGCACCCTGTATAGGTCCCCACGGTAGTCCCCTCCCCTGGTGCCTGCGTTTCCACGCAGGTACAGAATGATAGGGTGGTTAGAAGCCTCATACCACATCTCGTCTTTTCCTTGGGCGTTCTTCCACCATACAGCTGGGACCATGTGCCAGACCCCTATTTTCACATCTTCCTTTGGCTGAAGGTAATAATTACAGGTATGATTCAAGCCTTGACCATGAGGCTTCTTCAAGTCAATGAAATAGGGAACCCTCACAAAATTCAAGAAAATCAGTTTGGTCTGAATCCCAGGACATAGTTTGATGAGAAATGGAATGGCAATGTACAACCCCAAGATAGAAACATCTTTCTTAGTCGGTACCACAAGCCCTTCCGCCTGCCCAGCGCCGGCTTCATGCCGGCTTCGGCTGCACAGCGCGGCACAGCAGGCCCCTTGCCTGCCAGACGCAGGTTCTGCTTCAGGCGGCAATCGGCGTCCAGTGCTGTGGCGGCCCCTAGCCTAAGGAAGGCGAACCCGAGGCGAAGTAGTGCTCTTGCTCCAAAAGATGAGCTCGGTCTGTTTCCTCATCCCGCGGCCGACAGAGGGCGCCAACTGACCTCGCCCGCCCTCCTGCACCGCTCCCGCAGCAGTCTCCACCTACAGCCTGTAACCTAGGTCCTGGAGCCCTGCTACGGACTAGCCATGTCCTACATAACTTTTAAGCTCTCTTCTGATTTTTCTCAACCTTTTTTTTCTGGTTGTTCTTCTAGCATAGTAGTATTGAGAGACTATCCTCAATCTCATTAATTTGGGTTTCCATTGATTTTCTTCTTTTGCCCAGTCAATGTATTGTCCGTTTCTGAAATCTTAGCATTAATCTTCTGGATTTCTAATTGCAGGTTTTTTATTGTTTCAAAGTTTGCATTTACTTTGTCTGTTTCTTCTTATACTATTTTGTTGAATTCTTCTAAAGGTTTTTCTGTGTTCTTGCTTTCCTTGCTATTTCTGTCAATCCTTATTGTTGTTGTTGTTATGTGCTTTGGAGTCGGTTCCGACTCATAGCGACCCTGTACAGGGTTTCCGAGGCTGTAAATCTTTACAGGAGGAGAAAGCCTCCTCTTTCTCCCGCGGAACAGCTGGTAGTTTCCAACTGCTGACCTTGCAGTTCACAGCCCGATTCGTAACCACTAAGCTACCAGAGCTCCTTACAAGGTACCTAAATATCATGATTTTGAATTCTTTTCCAATGAGTTCCATTACCTTTTATTCCTCAGAAATGTTTTCTGGCTCTGCATCTTGGTCATTTGTTTAAGCCATTCTCTCTTGTTTCTTCATGAGTCCTAAAATTGTTATCTCTGGAGCATTGTGGGATTGTTGTATCTGTGAAAACAAACACTGTAGTTGTTGAACCCAGAGGGGAGAAATCTCTATGGGGCTTATGGAATTCAAGGAGCTCACAGGTAGTTGTGGAAGGGATGTGATAACAAAGTTCCTGGCCCTATGTGGAGTTCTTACTGGCCTTGGTGTTATCTATGTTCAGGGCACTCAATCGAGAAAAAGTTTGACGTGACCCTTGAAGGTACTGGTTTCAGATGGTTAAATGCTGGTCTTGTGGCTCTGTGGGTTTTGTTGTCTGGAAGCAAGCCCACCTGAATCCAGGCACAAAAGCAGCACCAAAGTACTGCAGCTGGTGCACAGCTCACACTGTTGTTGCCAACCATGAGGCTCAGACTGCCTGAAGAGCAGGCTCTGAGCTGGAGGTGGATGAGGGTTGGATCTGGCCACACTTGTGGTCACCAGGAGGCATGGGGAATAAAGAGAAATCACATGTTTCCGGTTGCGCGTTCTAGTCGGCTCTTCCAGCCCTGCTTCCACCACTAAAGCTGCTCAGCAGAGGGCAAAGCTGGGTCTGACCAGCCGGTCACTGGCCACTCTCCCTGTCTCTCCACTCCTGCTTGGCCTCTCCTCCCAGCAACACTCCACCCACCTCTCTAACCTTTGTTCTGAAGGTCAGGTGTCAGAATTGTCATCTGTGTCTGTTTTATTTGGTCTCTTGTAT